AGCACCACGTGCGGGACCTTCCTCACGCGCAGCCTCGCGAACAGTTGGGGCTACTTGGTGCAGCCGCTTTGTCCTGCCTGCGGCAAGCCCGATACACCTGCCCACCGTGTCTTTGAGTGCAAGACCTACGAGGCGGGCCGTGCGGCGCAAGGTGAACGTTGGGAGCTGGCGCTGGCTGCGTGTCGGGCTTGCGAGGATGAGCAACTGAGCTCCCTGTTGCTGCCCCGGCGTCCCCTGGCTGCAGCCGCTCCGCCCGTTGCTGCCACCCGTGCTTTTGCTGGAGACGTCGAGGTCTCGCCTGCCAGCTTCCGGTTTGTCCCGAGCGAGCCCGTGGCAGGAGATGGATCGGCTTCGACTTCGCCTCTCGAGTCGCTTCGTCGTGGGGGGTTCGGGGTGGTGCAGTGGGATCGGGCCACGGGCAAGCTCTTGCGGCTCCTGGGGACGTTGCCCCCGGCATCTGCCCAGACGGTCGTGGCGGCCGAACACGCCGCGTTCGAGGCCGGCGCCCGTCACAGTGACGGCTCGTGTAGCTACATAGGCGACTGTAATGCTGTGTTCTCGATTGGCCGCCTGGGCGTTGTTTCAGGAGCGGCCCCGAGGGGGCGTTTTGCTAGTGTTTGGAGGGGGCTGGCCCGTCAGGACGGGGCCTTCTCTGAGCTCCTCAAACAGAAGGCCCATGTCGAGGTTCCAGGGCGCCCCGCGACCCCGTCTGAATGGCGCGCTTGGTTAAACGACCAGGCCAACCAGGCGGCCAAGGAAGCGTCGCGTCTGCATGACGTCCATGGCCCCACCCTGGTCTGGCTCGAAGATCAGCTGGCGCGGATTAAACAGTTTCTGTATGCTGCGGCTCGCATGCTCGAGTCGGGACCAGCCCCTCGAGAAGAATGGAAATCCCTCAGGCGGGCCCCTGTGCACAAGGTGCCCGCGTGTAGGATTGCCCACGAGTTTCACCAGGTCGGCCCGTCCCGTTGGCAGTGCAAGCGATGTTTGCGGTCTAAGGTGGCCCCGAACAGTGCGCTCGATCGGAAAGACTGCCGGCCTGAGGATGCTCCCACGAGTTTCCAGTGCGTGGCCCAATACGTCCACACACACGATATCAAATGGTGTGAACTGACCCCGCGCCCTGAGGCTGAGGTCGGAGACACACTACTGTTCTGCAAGAAGTGCTGCCAGTATGCGACCTTGAAACCTTTGGGGCTCGGGAAGGTTTGTCCTAGTTTCGGGGTCGCGGGCTGGAAGCGGAATGAAGCGGCGCAGCATAAGCTGCGCCGGTTTATGCAGCTGAAGCACCCGAGGTGCGGCAATGAGGACCGTATAGTCGCCCATTGGCCCCTCGCGGCGCAGGTTTATGAGGCCAGCCAGGCCGCCGAGCCCATGCCCCAGTAAGCGGGCCCGCGGGCCCCTGGCCATCGTCCAGAACTAGTTGAGGTGGAGGAAAAACCTCCTCCTCTTCCTCCTCCCCCTCCTCCTCCGCCCAGTCAAGTGCAAGCATCGCAACGCGCAGCCTTCTGCAGACGAATGCAGCGCGGGATCAGGGCGGTGAGCTTGATGGCCTGACGCCAGCACGCGTCCATACGGAACGGGCATGAAGCCGACGCACTTCGGGGGGGGAGAAAGCAGGGAGGGGAGGAGAGGCGATAGGAAAAAGGAGTGGGAGACACGCAAGGAGAGGGAGAACGAGGGAGGCGGAGAGGGAGGGCTCATTGCCGTCCAGGGGGGCAATCGAAATCATCCGAAGAATGGGAGGCTAAGGTCTCCAATAGCCCACGCATGCCTCTTTGCGCGCAGCAGGTGGGGTCGGGCTCGCGGGCTCGCACCGTGCACGATCCCGTTCGGACATCGCAGGCCCAGGCAGCGAATGCATCCCCGCCAAAAGGTCTGACAGTATGTAGAAGCAGATCCCCCCCACCTGCACAAACAACAACCTTGGCATCCCCAAGACGAGCGATCCCGCATTGAAGTCCACAAGTGGGCCCGCTAGCACAGTTCCTCCCGGCGCGCTTGCCCAGGTTGGGGCGCAGATCCTCACGGCGCAGTGCTTTCCGCTTGAGAGCGGCATGCGATAACTGGATGTGCTGGGCTCAGACGCGCCTCGACGCCTGGCCTGTCCAGCAGCGGCGTCGTCTCTCTCATGGGTCGCAACGGGCTGCATCCAGCATCGATCCCACGAGGCGCGCATCAGGGCCCGTCAGCGAATCCAGCCATCAAAACAGATCGAACCATCGAATGAGCCGAGATCGAGAACGATCCGATGTAACTGAAGGGGCCCTGGGACACACAAATAAATACACACAAATAACAGGACTCCCCATATTTTCCATATGTTTGGGATTTTCGTCTTCCCCCCCTTTTGTTCATATTTTCTATATTTTCCTGGGAATCGACGATGAATTGTGTCTGTGTGGTTTTTCCCCTCCTGAGCAACACAGATGCGAGTCCGCGCTCCAGAGGCCACAGCCCATTGCGAGAGAACGCTGCATCGCGCCTCGAGGCCACAGACCCCCTGTGAAAAACGAGGCCCACGCTCCGAAGCCGCGCTGCCGCGTGAGAGCTCGTGGGTCCGCGCTCCCGAAGCCGCGATCCGATGCGGGTCGTACTGGTCCAGCTGGCTCGTGCTCCCGAGGCAACGATGCGGTGTGAAAGAGCAGATGGGAAAAAACATACTCCAGATTTCGTAATAAAAGGGAGGGGGGTCTCGTTTCGGGGGGGGGTCTCTTCCAGGCTATCTTGGAGGGCCTGGGGGGGTCTGGGGCCGATGTTTTGGAGGGTTCTCCCACAGGGGGGGTCTGAAATGGCTTGTCTTGGAGGGTCCAGACCCCCTCCCTTTTGACACGAAATCTGGAGTATGCACCTGAACATAAGTGCATCTATGAAAAATGCTAGACCCGGCCACGTGTACCACGATTCGGCCCTCGATGTCGCTCGGCTCTGAGCCCCGAATGCACTATCTGGAAAAGGATCCACCAAAGCGGGTGTGACCCTGGGGTGGGGGCTTTTGTGGGCCCCGGAAACGGCAGGGCCGTTTTTTTCACCGTTTCCAAGAAATGCACCTTGAAAATGGAAACGGTAAAACAGGCGACCGGACATAGCAAAAAAACGGCTCCAGGATTGGACCCGGAGCCGGAACTTGTCAAACAACGGCGACGGAAACGGTAAAAAACGGCGTCGGAACCGGCAAAAAAACGGCAAGACGGAACCACTAGAAAAACGGCCCTGTCGTTTCCAGGGCCCACTAAGGGTGGGGGGGCACGAGTTCGATCCGTTGGTACACCCAACTGCCGCGAACAGCTGCCCCCCGCATGCCCCACCTCTCGGCGCATCTGTCGGGAGCTGCCGGCGGCCGGGGGGCATCTGCTCTGGGCGGCGCGGTGCCAAAGCCGAGCGACGTCCCCCCCGCCCTGGGCACGCACACCTCCTTGACAGGACCACGACTGGAGCACGCTCCAGCAGAAACCGCTGCGGGCGCCGGGATCATGTCTTGGGCCTCCTCCTCCTCCTCCTCCTCCTCCTCCTCCTCCTTCTCCTCCTCCTCCTCCCCCTCCTCCCCCTCCCCCTCCTCCTCCTCCTCCTCCTCCTCCTCCTCCTCCTCCTCCTCCTCCCCCTCCTCCTCCTGGGCCTCCCGGAGCCGAGCGCGCCCCAGGAGAAACCCCCCCCCTGGGACGCGAGGCGTCTGGGAGCGTCTTGCGCCCGGTGCCACAACCCAGCACGCCGAGGCAGCTCCCACGACGCCCCCCTTCCCAGACCCCCTCGCGTCATGAAAAAATCACGACGGTAGGTTTTCCCTTTTCCTCGGCCTCTGGGGGGCCCTACCGGGCCTCGGGAGCGCCAAAAGACGACTCGGGATGCAAGGCCGGTCATGGGGAAAGGGTCGGGACCTCCGGGGGTCGACGTAATGAAAAACTCATGACGTCGGGGGTCTGGGTTGCCGGCCTAAAGCCTTCCAGCCTGGAAGATATCCCTATCCCTATGCTGGGCATCGTCTCATCACGATGCCGATCTCAGGGATTCCCTCAGTTTTTGAGGGCGCACCCCTAAGACTGTCATCGCCTTTTGGCGTGTCAATCTCAGGGATAGGGACACGTTCGAGGCTGGTAACTCTGGACGCGATGCGTCTGGGAGCGTCTTGCGCCCGGTGCCACAACCCAGCACGCCAGAGCAGCTCCCACGACGCGCCCCTTGCCGGCCTAAAGCTTTCCAGCCTGGAAGATATCCCTATCCCTTTGCTGGGCATCGTCTCATCACGATGCCGATCTCAGGGATTCCCTCAGTTTTTGAGGGCGCATCCCTGAGATTGTCTTCGCCTTTTGGCGTGTCAATCTCAGGGATAGGGACACGTTCGAGGCTGGTAAGTCTGGACGCAATGCGTCTGGGAGCGTCTTGCGCCCGGTGCCACAACCCAGCACGCCGGAGCAGCTCCCACGACGCGCCCCTTGCCGGCCTAAAGCTTTCCAGCCTGGAAGATATCCCTATCCCTATGCTGGGCATCGTCTCATCACGATGCCGATCTCAGGGATTCCCTCAGTTTTTGAGGGCGCACCCCTAAGATTGTCATCGCCTTTTGGCGTGTCAATCTCAGGGATAGGGATACGTTCGAGGCTGGTAACTCTGGACGCGATGCGTCTGGGAGCGTCTTGCGCCCGGTGCCACAACCCAGCACGCCGGAGCAGCTCCCACGACGCGCCCCTTGCCGGCCTAAAGCTTTCCAGCCTGGAAGATATCCCTATCCCTATGCTGGGCATCGTCTCATCACGATGCCGATCGCAGGGATTCCTTCCCTCAGTTTTTGAGGGCGCACCCCTAAGATTGTCGTCGCCTTTTGGCGTGTCAATCTCAGGGATAGGGATACGTTCGAGGCTGGTAACTCTGGACGCGATGCGTCTGGGAGCGTCTTGCGCCTGGTGCCACAACCCAGCACGCCGGAGCAGCTACCAAGACGCCCCCCTCCTCCTCCTCCTCCTCCTCCTCCTCCTCCTCCTCCTCCTCCTCCTCCTCCTAGATCCGAGAACTGGAAAAGCGCAAGAGAGAGCGGCCACGGCACAGAGAGGGGACCCAGCGCGTTCCATCGGCATGGGCCCTGCACGCGGGGCGCGAGGACGGCCGCGGCAGAAAGAAGACGGAGCTCGGCGCGTCCCGGGGCGCGCTCTCCAGAGCACGCTCCAGCAGGAACCGCTGTGGGCCATCAGGTAACGTCCTGAGCTTTGGTGCCTCTTGGAGGCCTCGTCGGGCCCCAGGAGGATCGACCAGGAGGCCCCTTCGCCGATTGGCCACTAGAGCTGTCGTTCCACCAGGTGGGTCGACCGCGGGAGAAGACCGAACCCAGCGCGTTCTGGGGCGCAAGCTCCAGAATCGGAAGCGCAAAGGCGAGGGCTTCCAAAACGTCAGGTTTGCCTTCGTTTTTTCAAGGTGGTGGGCCTCCTGTGGGTCTCTTAGAACTTTGGGGGCCTCTTGAGGACCTCTTTGAAAGCATCTCGGGCACACTGTTGGGGCCTCTGGGCCTTCTTGGGGGTTTCTTGGACTCTCCCAGGGTGATCGTGGGGAACTCTCTTGTCTGTCCGGAGGCTCTCTCGGGACCCTCTTCAGAAATTCTTGAACCTTGTCGGCCCATCCTGCTACCATGTCTGGGTCGTGGGTCCGAGGCGTGTCAGATGCATGCCGTGGTCTCGTCGGATGGTTCCCGGGGCCTCCTGGGGTGCTTCCCTCTTGGATGTCTCTTGGGAGCCTCTTGGGGCCTTGTGGGGGGCCTTTTGCGGGCCACTGTGTTTTTTTGTCCTTGACCAAACACCAAGGAAGCAGTCCAACCCGACAAGTCATGCGGAAGTCCCGGAAAGCAAAGGTTCGAAGCATTCGCCCTTGAAACGAACCACTGTGTCGGATGACGGATTTATCCCGTCAAGCGTGCGCTGAGCAATTTCACGACCTGCTCAAGTCGGAGAAGGAGACCCGTGGAGGAGCTCAAAAGCGAGGATGGAAGAACGATGGGCGAGCCAAGCAACCAATCAAGCATCCTGAAGGTTGAATGACGCACGGGCTCACACTCGATGGGCGAGGACAAGACCTAATCCTCAAAAGGGGCGGACTCCAGAAAATCCTGGCAGAATTGAGTGCTGTGGAACACGCCGCCCCCAGTCACGCGGCACATACTGCTCCTGCTACTCCACGGGAGGTAGACGTCAGCCTTTGCTTCGTATATGTCTTTGAATGCCGCGGTCGCCTGGACTTCTGCGCTCGGCTCAGACATGTTCCAGTCTGCGAACGCATTTGGTGGCACTCGGGACGGCCGCACGGCAAAGAAGTCTGTGTGGGTCTGCCTGGGAGCGCAGCCAGAATGCGGCTCGCAGTGCGTCCCACAACCGACGAATATGCCCCAATTTTCTGCCTTCTGCATGAGAGGCCAGATCAAATTATCGTTGTAGATCACAACATCCGGGTTGATCCTGATGACCCAATCGTAACCTCGGAACCATCCGCTGGAAAACCCGACGTGGGCCGCATATTTTGCGCCCTCCTGCTTGCCCGGATTGTCACCGTAATGAACGATACGATTCCCCACGGGCCACTGATCCAACAGCTGGTTCATGTTATGCTTCAACGTTTCTGACATATGATTTCCGACGTACACGATGACGTCCGCCTTCATCAACATCGGCGAAGTCTTTATCAGCGCCGGCAAACACTCGAAGTAGCTCCAGTGTTGATGCGAAGCGGCCGTTGTGATGTACAGCACAACGCTTGCGTTTGTACGTCGTGGCGCAGGCACCGAGGCGTTGTTGTGGTAGATGCCGCGAAACATCATCGTAGACGTCCCGGCGGATACGGCCTGGATAAGTTGCGCCACAATGTACAGGGTCATTGGTGCCAGCCCTACTGCAGCCATCCCAATTAAGTTACTGTGAGGTTACACAGGTTCAGTAAGCAGACGCTTGGGTGCACAACTCGCCAACGTTCTGTTGGAGCTGGACTTCAATAAACCAAAATGGCTCGAGGCACAATGGTTAACGGAGGGGCCTCTTGCAGGCCTCTTGGGCGCCTCTTGGAGGCCTCTTGGAGGCGTCCTGGAGCCTCTTGGGGGGCCCTGGGGACCTCTCGGTGGCTTCCTATGGTCTCGGGAGCAATCCTGGACCCACGGCGCCCTCGCTTGCCCCTTCGCGGGTCTCTCTTGGGCCGTCCTGGGAGCCTCCCGAACCGTCTTTTGGGAGCTGGGCGAGGGCTGGCACGTCCGTGGCTGCTACAACGGTCTTCCCAGAGGGGAACAACAAACTCCCAGAAGCGAGCTCAACGCACGAAATAGTAAACGGGCTGCTTCCCAGAAGAAAAAGAATGGCCCGGAGCTCTGTTTTAGCAGCCACGGGTTTGCCAACCTTCGCCCGCCTACTCTTGGCGAGCATCCAAAGCCGTCATTGGAGCCCTCTTGGGCCGTCTTGGGACACTCTTGGCGGCGTCTTGAATAATTCTGGAAGCCTCTCGGGCCGTCTTGGGCTGTCGGCAACCAGCCGAGGTGCTGCAAAAACCTTCAAGTCCGATAGGGGATGTATGGTTTGGGCCTCTCGGGGCTCTCGCTCTCGGGGCCCTCTGGGGCCGTCTTGCAAACCTTCTGGGGAATATTGAAGCCAGCATGGGCGCCTTGGAGCGACCGTTTGGCGACTCGGGGCCCTCTTGGGCCGTCCTCGAAGCTTCTTAGGGCCCCTTTTGCCCTTCCAAGGGCTCTGGTGGACTCTCTTGAGCGGGCGGGAGGGGCCCCGGGAGGCCCTGGAGTGGTGGTGGACCCACATTGGGGGTTCGAGGTCCCAGTTTCTGGACCCCGATGTCCTTCCCCGGGTAATTAGATGAGTGTACACATACCTGCGAATGTGTGTATATATATGAACATAACACGTAGGTGTGCGTACACACTTGCGTGTATACACAGGCATGCAAATACAATTTATGCTGTGTTCCATTATGTGTACGTTTGTATGCATGCCCGTGCACGCGTGTGTGTTGTGTTGTGTGTTGTGCGTTGAGTGTGTTGTGTGTTGTGTTGTGTGTGTTGTTTTTTGTGTGCGTGTGCGTGTAGCGTGCGCACAAGCGTTCGCGCCGAGGTGCGATGTGCGTGTGTGTGGTGCGTGTGCGTGTGCGTGTGCGTGTGCGAGTGCGTGTGCGTGTGCGAGTGCGTGTGCGTGTGCGTGTGCGTGTGCGTGTGCGTGTGCGTGTGCGTGTGCGTGTGCGTGTGCGTGTGCGTGTGCGTGTGCGTGTGCGTGTGCGTGTGCGTGTGCGTGTGCGTGTGCGTGTGCGTGTGCGTGTGCGTGTGCGTGTGCGTGTGCGTGTGTGCGTGTGCGTGTGCGTGTGCGTGTGCGTGTGCGTGTGCGTGTGCGAGTGCGTGTGCGTGTGCGTGTGCGTGTGCGTGTGCGTGTGCGTGTGCGTGTGCGTGTGCGTGTGCGTGTGCGTGTGCGTGTGCGTGTGCGTGTGCGTGTGCGTGTGCGTGTGCGTGTGCGTGTGCGTGTGCGTGTGCGTGTGCGTGTGCGTGTGCGTGTGCGTGTGCGTGTGCGTGTGCGTGTGCGTGTGCGTGTGCGTGTGCGTGTGCGTGTGCGTGTGCGTGTGCGTGTGCGTGTGCGTGTGCGTGTGCGTGTGCGTGTGCGTGTGCGTGTGCGTGTGCGTGTGCGTGTGCGTGTGCGTGTGCGTGTGCGTGTGCGTGTGCGTGTGCGTGTGCGTGTGCGTGTGCGTGTGCGTGTGCGTGTGCGTGTGCGTGTGCGTGTGCGTGTGCGTGTGCGTGTGCGTGTGCGTGTGCGTGTGCGTGTGCGTGTGCGTGTGCGTGTGCGTGTGCGTGTGCGTGTGCGTGTGCGTGTGCGTGTGTGTGTGTGAATGTGTGTGTGAATGTGTGTGTGAATGTGTGTGTGTGAATGTGTGTGTGGAGTGTGTGTGTGTGGAATGTGTGTGGAATGTGTGTGTGCGCGCGATTCCGCGCTCCCGAAGCCGCGACCCTCAATACAAAACAAGAACTGCGCGGTCCGAAGTTAAGATCCCGTGACAAGCATTGGCTCCACGCTCCTGAGTCCACGATGCCTTCTTAACAACTATGGATACGGGCTCCCGAAGCCACGATCTCTGATAATGAACGGCGGCTTCGCGCTCCCGAAACCACGACCCTTCGCGAAGGGAGAACTGTGGCGCCGTTGTCTCTAGGTCACGGCCTTTCATATTAAAAACCATATAGACTCGCGCTCCTAAGGCACGCTCCCTGGCAAACGATGAGACCCCGCGCCCCCGAGGCCACGATCACCTGCAAAAACTACGGACCCGTGCTCCCGAAGCCATGATCCCTTCATAAGCCTGGTGTGCAGGCTCTCCCGAAACCCACGGCCCCCTACAGAACAAAAGGCACGCTCTCTGAACCATCCCTTCAGAGCCAACTAGCTGGCCAACAAACCTGCCAAATGGCCATCCACAGGCCAGCCGGCCAGCCGAGTGGCCAGCCTGCCAACCAGTCAGCCATTCAAAGCCAACCCACCCCACCGACCCAGCCGAGCAGTTGAGCAGGGACCGACTGTCCAAGCATTCCTATAGTCCTACCACGAAATGTTCTTAGAACCCAACAATGTTCTAAGAACAAAAACCATGTTCTTAGAGCATAAACCGATGTGATAAAACAAGACAGACTCCGCCAGAAATGTTCTAAGAACAGTTCGTGGAAACAACAAACAAGATTCTTAGAACACCCTTGGTGGGGCTATAGGCGAGCCAGGACGCTTCGCCACTGCTTGAGAGTGGCCAGCCTGCCAACCGGTCAGCCATTCAAAGCCAACCCACCCCACCGACCCAGCCGAGCATTTGGACGCCCGAGATGGGTACTGAAAGAATGGGTACAGCTGTTGGGCAGGCGGCCTTCTGTCTCGAATGGACACAGGCCGCGGCGGCGTGGACAGCGAGCCCTGTACAAATTGAACAGGAACTGGTGTTGGGCATTGTACCCATTCTGTCCTCCTCCTCCTCCTCCACCTCTTGCTCCTCCTCCTCCTCCTCCTCCTCCTCCCCCTCCTCTCTCGGCTGCAGCACCGCTCAACGATGTGCTGTTTTACCGAACCTGCAGGGTGGGCCCTTTCCCAAATCCGTGCTTCGGTGCGGATCGTGAGCGCGCCTCGTCTCCGTCGTCGTCGTCGTCGGCGTCGTCGTGGTCGTGGTGCGTGTTGCTCTGCTCGGGATTCTGTTTCCCTTATGCAGTGACCACCCACTTGGCTTGCCAGGCATTGCATGCCGCCTGGCTGTCCGTCCGTCCGTCTGTCTGTCTGTCTTCCCGGCTCTCTGAGCCGCGGCGCGTTGAGCTTCTTAGCTCGGGGACGCGTCGGCCACCGCCGCCCTCTCCCTTGTCGGTGGCCCTGACGAGGTTGGGGGAGAGGGTGCCGAAACGCGCCCAGAGTCCAGCAAGGCATGAGCATCGTCGTCGTCGTCGGCGTCGTCGTGGTCGTGGTGCGTGTTGCTCTGCTCGGGATTATGTTCCCTTATGCAGTGACCACCACCACCCCTCCTCTCTCCTCTCTCCTCTCTCCTCTCTCCTCTCTCCTCTCTCCTCTCTCCTCTCTCCTCTCCTCCTCTCTCTCCTCTCTCCTCTCTCCTCTCTCCTCTCTCCTCTCTCCTCTCTCCTCCTCTCTCCTCTCTCTCTCTCTCTCCTCCCTCCTCCTCCTCCTCCTCCTCCTCCTCCTCCTCCTCCTCCTCCTCCTCCTCCTCCTCCTCCTCCTCGTTGCCCACCCCATTATTTCCGTGCCCATCCCGTTCGTGCCGACGCCGAGCAGGCCATCAAGATGGGGGGCCGGCCGGCCGGCAGAGGGCGGAGCTCCCTTCGGGCTCCTGCCCCGACTGCGAGGCACGTCCGAGGGACGGGTGCGCTGGCCTGGCTGCGAGACTGCGTGACATCAATGGAGGAGGAGGAGGAGGAGGAGGAGGAGGAGGAGGAGGAGAGAGGAGGAGGAGGAGGAGGAGGAGGAGGAGGAGAGAGGAGGAGGGAGGGGAGAGGAGGAGGAGGAGAGAGGAGGAGGAGGAGGTGAATCCCCACTAACTGGGCGGCCTCCCAGAGGGGGTCCGAGCAAGCGGGGGTCGGAGGATCGCAAGTGCATCGCCGGTGCATCGCGGGTGCATCGGCGATGCACCGGCGACGTCGTCGCCAGCGCGGAGGACATCGGGCTCCACTTCGAGCCACATCGGCGGTGAAATCCGCGATGCGGAGCGATCCTTCGACCCCATCTAACCACCACAGGTCGCTAGACCCCCAACCAACACTTAGAAACTATCTATCGGCGGCCTTATTGACGGATTGAGCGCCCACCAATAATGGAAAATAGCGATGTATCCGCGGCACTTGCCGCGCAGCAACGACGAAGACGAGCACGACTACGATGGACTTGACGCTTACGACTACGACTACGACTGTAACTACGACTTCAACCACGACCACGATTACGACAACGACTAGAGGCACGACTACAGCCACGATTACAATCACGACTACGACCACAACCACGGATTCTTATTGCAATATCAAAATCCTTCCGCGTGTAGGCTAGCTCACAATGGAATAGCCCCTGGGAGAAAGGACCCAACATTACCCAGCCCGCCCAACATTAGAGGGAAAATAATATCCGCCGCGACAATGATGAGACGACGACGACGACGGCCACGACGACGACGACGATAATGACTACGAGGAGCAGCAGGAGGACGAGGAGGAGGACGAGGAGGAGGAGGAAGGGCAAGTGGAGCAGGAGCAGGAGGAAGAGGAGGGGGGCGGAAGGAGGAGCAGGAGGAGGAGCCGGCGGAGGAGGAGCAGGAGGAGCGGGAGGAGGAGGAGGCGCGAGCTTGCTGCCCGCCAGGAAAAGGAGACAGGGGGGGCGGGGGAGCAACACGAAGGACCTCCTGAGGCTGCGCGGGCCCCATCTATAGGAGGCCTCCCGCGGCGCGCCGGGGCGGGGACGGAGAGGAGGCGGGCCCCTCCTCAGAGGGCTCGGCACTCCTCCGGCCTCCCGACAAATCTCCTCCGCACTCCCCGTCGTCACGAAGC